TGACCAAACTGTCAGGAACAGACTCCATGAGGGTGGCGTAAGGGACTGACATCCTCTAGTGTGACCTGTGCTCACAGTCCAGCACCATGCAGCTCGACTGGCACTCGCAAAAGAACACCAGAATTGGCAGGTCCACCACTGGTGCCCCGTTCTCCTCACAGTTGAGAGCAGGTTCATACTGAGCACATGTGACAGGCGTAAAAGGATCTGGAGATGCCGTGGTCAATGTTATGCTGCCTGTAACATGATCCAGCATTCCAGCATCCAGCATGTCAATGCCACTGATACCCCGACTGCTTTTAGGTACCAGGATGAAATCCTCAGAGCGACTGTCAGACCTTATGCTGGTGCAGTGGGCCCTGGGTTCTTCCTGGTGCAGTGGGCCCTGGGTTCTTCCTGGTGCAGGACAATGCCTGGCTTCATGTGGCCTGAGTGTGTAGGCAGTTTGTGGATGATGAAGGCATTGATGCCATTGACTGGAACTCTCGTTCCCCTGACCTGAATCCAATTGATCACCCATGGGATGTTATGGGTAAAATACTGTCACAGAATATCAAGGACACCATCCACGACTCATCAGGAGCATGCACAGACGTTGTCGGGAGTGCATACAGAGTCACATTATGAGTTGCCATGATAAAATTTAAAAAAAGTTGGATCAGCCTGTGATTTCAGTTTTTTACTTTGATTTTTTAATCCATTGAATGAAGTTACATAATTTTTTCTCAATAGATTCTACAGTGTACATCGGTAATGATTTTCAACTTGTTCAAGATTCGATGTGTGATTTAAGTGTTCCCTTATTTTTTGAGCAGTATTAACTGAACTTTCCTGAGCTATGGAAAAAATATTTGTTTTATTTTTAGGCGGTGTTCCTCTTTAAATGACAAATCAAGTGTCATCCTGGGTTAGGATAGACACAGCCACAACAGAGCAAGTAGTTCTTATAATGTAGGCTATGGCATATATGTTATATTCAAAAGAATCAGTAAACCATGAGTCACAATCTTTAATTCTTTTATAAAACCTCATCAGTCAGCAGTAGACAACACAAGTCAACGTGATAGACATAAACAGTTAACAGGCTACAGGATATAGAATACAAAACACAATAATAACATGACCTAATGACAAATAGATCTGATTGTAAGAGGGACATTTTCAGTCAACATTGTGTGACGTCATCGCCGCTCCAGCCAACCGGATCGCTGTGTGTCTGCGGTGCCGGTGTCGGTGGGAGGAATATTTTAAGTGCGGTTTAAAAAGCGAAGCAGCCTGAAGCAGAGGAGTCAATATCAGATGACAGGAGCGCGTTACACACGATGTCAGATCTAAAGACTGACACGTAACGGACTAAAGCTGCACAGGACGGTTCAGTTTGGATGGCGGAAAGATTTCAGAGCGAAGAGCGACATCAATAAATAATGTAAGTAGGACTGCCGGGCCGTACAGTAACCTGCCGTGAGGGAAATAATAAACGTTATAACAGGATATTTATTCATTATGTGCACAGTCAGAGGCTTAAAGGCTGTTTTCACCTTAGTTTGTGTATCATAATGTGCGGCTGAATGATGGCAGCGGGCTGCAGAGCCTCACCCCGTGTGCAGATGTTTACATGACGCCTCACAGGCCACATATGAAATTACAGTCACTTTATGAACCCCATGTTGATCCCGCTGTTATTCAGCTTCAACATGGGCGTTTTTGTGCCATGAAAATACGACATTTCCTGCTGTTTATGTTGCATGATTATAGGCAATTTTAATTTATTAAAAAAATCATAATCATCATCAATAATTGATTAATGATCTCCGTGTGTCCTTGTAGCTATTTAGTAGTAACAGTCAGTAATCCCAGAGTATCAGACTGCTGCTCCAGTCACATTAAAATGATGTAATTGGATAATCCTTCACATTATAATCTGCAAATCCACACCTCAGTCTGCCTCTCTGTTTGTGCTGTAGTGAGTTTTATATTGAATTATGTGTTATTAAAGAAGCCTCTGTGTAGTTCCCCTCAGAAATAACAGATGGAATTTAAAGGTTTTCTCACTGTTGTGTTGCTTCTTTGGTAAAACAACACATAAATCAGAGGATAGAGCTGGTAACTTGGCCGATTGGCTGTTAAACAGAGATTTCCTGGAAGAGTGGGCAAGGCTTTGGTTGTGTGTGTGTGTGTGTGTGTGTGTGTGTGTGTGTGTGTGTGTGTGTGTGAATGGTCCCATCTGTTTGCACGTGGTGTATGTTGACAGTGATATCAGGTCTGTGGCATGTTGAGGGATGAGTGCATGTGTATTGTGCATGTGTGTGTTTGCCAGACAATGAACATGACGGTGAAGGGGTCAATAATTATGTAATCATTGTCAAACAGTCCAACTCCCAGTTCTTGAGCAGTAAGTCACACTAAGAGATTAAAGGGGCTTTTCACCAAAATGACAACCACCAACACCACCGCCAACAACAACAGTACACCAGGAACATTTTCACTGCTGTGGTATCTGGCCAGGCAGTATGTTTTGCTCTCCCTCTCTTTTTTGTCATCCTACCATTGAAAAACATTTTGCTTCCCAGAAACAGGGTTTTGGTTACTGTGAACAATCCCCAGACCTTACTATCAACGCTTAAATTGGAGCTAGTGTCATAGAAATTCAGCATAGAAAGATTCCCTAAGAAAAGCCAAACTGTCTGCATGGCTACATCTCCCTTTAAGTTATGTTTCGATAATACAGATCGACCACTAATCTTTTTAAGTGTGTTCCTGTATTTGTATGTTTATTTTTAAGTACATGTGACATATTTGTATAAAACACCTACATTTAATTTTGTGTGATTTGGCTCAGTCTGGACACAGCGTATTAATTTGTTTAATAACAGTGTTGTAGTGTGTTGTGTGTAGCCGTTCTGATGCACAACAGGATAATGCTGGGTCATTACAGCAGAGGAGCCCCACACTGCAGTAATTGATGGGTTTTAACGAATCATCTATGTCATTAGAATGTTCTCACATGGTCTGCCAAAATATTGAGCCATCTGTCTCTGAGGCACACAGTAATATTGTGTGTGTGTGTGTGTATGAATGGTGTGTGTGTGTGTGTGTGTGTGTGTGCGCGGGGAGACTGGGAGATAGAATATGCCAGAATCTGAGTCAGCACAAGCAGGTGGCAGGTGGAACACTTTGTTATGCAGATAAGATAACGATGACACATACAGTATTGTGTGTGTGTGTGTGTGTGTGTATTCGTTGTTTTCACAATAAGAAAGCCAAAGCAATTCCGAGGTGTCACATTAGCAATGCTTTTACCCTTGTTTAAAGCTGATAAAAAACACTACTGGCATGTAGTTTGCTGAATAGATAATGATAAATGTTCGGTGATGAGCAGACTTGTGTACTCAAGTCACAAATTGGATGACTTTAGACTCAACTTGACTCAACGAAGACTTGGACTTGGACTTTAACACCAAAGACTCCTGATTTCACTTGGGAAGTGACACCTTCATTAAAAAGTATGTTGTCTTTAAAATAGGACCACCAAACCAACTAACATTAATTCTGTTCAGTCCTAGCAAGTCGACTCTCGACTCTCGAATCTACTTTGTTTGAACTGATCCAACAGCATCCAATCAAGTTGCAGGAAAGCAATATGAACGTTAACTCAGGGTACCAATTCATTTGTGTGCAAAAAATATGTGGTGGTCAACGAAAAACAAATTGCAGTATGTAAAACGTGTGGGTTGAAAATGATAGATGGAGACACAGCAACATCCAGCTTCATTCAACATTATAAATTACACAGAGAACAGTAAGTTGAGGCTAGTATTAGCAAAGTTATCAAGCTAATGCTCAACTAGCGTTGTCACTCTGTTGTTAAAGTGGCTTTACATTTGGTGAAGAACACATTATTACTTGTCTGGGACTCGAAACTCAGGGTTTAGGACTTGGGCTTTGACTCAGGACTTGAGTGCAAAGACTTGAGACTCACTTGTGACGTGCAAAACAATGATTTGATCCCACCTCTGGTGATCAGGTGCATAAATGATTCTGTTGGATTGTACAACATATGAAAGTGGCTTCAGACATTTTGCACAGTACTCTACAAAAATCTGTTTACTGCATACCCCTCACTGACGTCATCCCTGCAGGAGCTCCCAAAGGACCAGTAGCTGGTGTATAATCCAAGACAACAAGTAAACTGTACACATTCTCACAGTCTTTCCATGTTTAAGTATTTGTATGAAAGCATGGAATATATATTTAGCTATTAATAACTTTAAACAATATTGTTGATTTGTCCTGGATGCTGAATATATTTTCTTTCTATTCTCTCTCTCTGCCCCTCAAATCAACAGCAACCCATGTCCGAGCCCAGTGAGAGCACTTCCCTGCCTGTGTCTCTCTCCAGGGTCATGTTTGGCATTCTAGACAGAGAGCGTTAGAGGCTGTTGATCAGAGAGACTGGCACAGCAACACAAACTCTCCCCCCTCAATTAGTGTATTTGCATTACAAAGGAAAAAGGCTTTTTTTTTGTTTCTATTATCATTTTTGTTTTCAACTGACAAAAAAAACAAAAAGACATCAAAACATCTTTCTTTTTTTTTTTAGGAAGAGCTGAATGTTTTCTCATCCATGCACCCACATACCAACACCAGTCACAGCCACAAACATATCCCACGCTCAGCAAGGCCACAAGAATACTGTCATTGTTTATGGTCGCAGCAGAGATCGGCCAGTGTGTGTGGGCAGTAATTGGACTCAGTGGATCAATAATGTGTTTTAATGTGGCAGTGAGGCCTCGTGGTTGCACAGAACAGCTCATCTGTCAAGCGTTTGGTCCCCAATAGCCAATAGGTCCACGAAGGGTCATTTGTCCTGCCAGTGTGTGATGCTGTGCGTATGTGAAAGGCCTGAAATGCAGATTACAGATTAAAGAGAAAAAAAAAGATGTGCCATCTTTGTGAGAAAGTAACCAACAGAAACTCTTTCCTTCCCTCTCTGTCTCCAGTTACAGACCATGAACTATGTGGGTCAGTTGGCGGGCCAGGTGTTCGTGCAGGTCAAGGAGCTATACAGGGGACTCAACCCTGCAACACTGTCTGGATGTATAGATGTTATTGTGGTACGACAGCCAGATGGCACCCTGCAGTGCTCCCCATTCCACGTCCGCTTCGGCAAGATGGGTGTGTTGCGGTCCCGTGAGAAAGTGGTGAGATTATAGGGTGCTGCCACCCTTCATGCTTTCACTACCTTTTTTTCCATCTGCGTGTGCAGTGTGGTTTTGTGTACAGGTAATTTGAGAGGTCAGAGTCTGTTGCTAATACTTATATTCTGACAACAGCGTCAAAGCAAAGGCACAAAGGGTTCGCAAGATGATGACAGAAGTTTTAATCAGTGGTGGAACACGTTATCAGGCCTTTTACTTCAGTTAAGAAAATAGTTTTTACAAGAAAAAAGCCGGTATTCAATATCATAGTTACTTTTTATGTTAAATTTACATGTTGCTGCAAAATATTGACGATATTTTATATGTAATGCAGCAATTCAACAGGCCAGAAATCATATTGTACTTACTGAAAATCAATATTGCATTACTGTAATATTGTATTGTACTGACTGAAAATCAATCAGTACATACAGTACATTAAAAGGGAATTACAGTGCAGCACACCCAACACTGTGTGTGTATGCATTTCTACATCTTAGCAGTTAAGTTACATTAAAACAGCAACTGTTATGTGTTAGATGAGATGGTTATTTGTTTACAAAACTAACAGTTACTCATTGTGTCGACACAAAATCACACACTGATGATTGTTTTATTCATGCCAGTGAGATTTAAAACATGTTGAGACACTTTAATTCTGTCCTGCAGGTGGACATAGAGATTAATGGCGAGCCGGTGAGTCTGCATATGAAGCTGGGCGAGAATGGAGAGGCCTTCTTCGTCACAGAGACTGAGAACACAATGGTGAGTAATGATTGACAGAGTTGTTAACACTCACAAATATAGGAGGGAACAGAACTTACTGACATAAAGGTCGTACAGGCCGAACTAAAATACAAGCAGTGCTCGAACTGGACACTCTGGTATTCTGGAAGTTTTAACTGATTTCACCACCTACCGATGAATCTGCATTATGAATGGCATTACATGTCATTGTCATATTAATTATCAGGTTCAGATCGCTATTTTTGCTGCTCAGACCAAGAGGCAGCAGAGTTGTGCCCCTCCTCTCTAGTAGTGTGAGGCGCAACATGAGACTGAGTTCTGCTGGGCAGCTGCTGGTGGAGCCTTCAAAGTCTTTTAAAAGTCACCGACCTGTTTGACAGTGAAGTTTGGCTACAAGAAAAAAAATCAAAACAGAATGAGCCAAAGGACATTTATCTCTGTGAATGCAGTAAGTGCAAAATCAAGAGTGTCCTGTCCCTGACAACGTAAAATGTGCCACAAAATCAGAATTAAGCGGAAATGATATAATACAATCACGAATAAAGCTTCTAATACAATCATGTAAAAGATGAAAAGAGTAAAGAGTAAATGATTTCATTGTAAAAACAAATTAATAAATCAAGAGTTGTATAAAACCATAAATATAATCTGTTCGAGATCCTAAAACATCCCGAAAACATCAATAGTCTAAAGAGAGAGCACCAAGTATCTGCAACAGTAATTTGATTTCACACAGATTGACCAACTTTGACAGTTTTATGTGTAATTACAGAGTGTTCCAGGCAGAGAGATACAGAGCACATAAAAGTTATTTTACTTCAGGGGGTCTTTGGGAACAGGGAATGAGGACTGTGTTGAATAAACGTACATAGATAAAGTAGTTGTAACCTGTGGAAACATTTTTTTGTGGTTTTCATATAGAAACTATAAATATATATAAATATGTCTTGAAATTAGAAATTCTAATCCTAGGCTCTTTCAACAGCAGCCTGGCTGTACAACGCAATGGCCTGCTAAGACACCACACAGCTGTTTATACTGCTTTGAGGCTGGATTTTACAACCCTGAAAAGTTAGTCATGGCAGCACTCATATTTTACTTCAGCACAGCTCGCTGAGATACGATATAAAAATATAAAAATATCTTTATCCATACTCGATATGTGTAAAACCAAAGGTAAAATGAAATGTTGAAATAGCAGTAATACCACATTCATTCAAAAAATAACACAAGGGATGGAAAGGGGGGATGGCAGTTTTAGAAGGGGGATGATTTTGACCGTTTTTATTTCAAGGGGGATGCCATCCCCCCTCAACTCGAGAACTGGTTGTAACCACCTCTTCTCATGCCCTGTTTTATTCATGTGCATGTGACCTGCACTGCTGGTATAAGCGCAAGAATTCAGGGTTCAGTCCTCTATAGGGATGCACAGACTAAAAATGTATGCACTCACAGCACGTCAGGCACTTCAGATAAAGAATTCTCCGTGTCTTACTGTCCGTGCTTTGAGATATGCACCCAGATACACATCACTTATTCATCCCTTCATTCTGCAGTCCTATGAAAACGTGACAATGTGAATATAATGTTGGTTGTATATTAACAGATTGGGTTAGGAAAGAGTGCCTGACAAACCTCTGATCCATGTCACAGCTTTTGGCCGCTGTTTTGCTTCAATCTGCTGATGTTATCTGTCAAACTAGAAACTGATCAAAACAATACAAAAGTCCTACCTGAACAGCTTTCCATGCAGCCATAATAGATCATGTTACAAGGAAGTATTTGCAGCACAAATGCAAATAGAGCAGAAAACAGTCTGACCAGGGAACATTTCCTTTTGCTTTGACAACTGATTCTGTAAAGCGATAGGTGAGGATTCATGGAGAGCTGGAGGGTCAGGGACATGAGGAGGAGCACTCGTCTGAAGGACACATGGATGAGTGGTCAGCGTGATGAGAGTTGGCTGTGTTTCCCAGTTAGGAATTAAGAGGAATATATCATAATCTGAGAAGATCTAATTCCTAATCTGAGGGATTACATTGGTCTAATTCTGCTTTCATTACTTACTGTCCCTGTCAAAGACTGGGAGCCTTTCTCCAACAGTCAGTCAATCAATAGGTGCCATGGGTGCTCTTTAGAGTGGGTCATGCAAGAATATCGTAATGTAAAGTATGTGCAAATTCTCTTTGGCCATGTCCATCCCACTGTTAGGGCTCTTTTGTGGAATCCTCTCTTTGACAACTTTTCCGTTGCAGAGTGGAAAACCACCAGAGGTCTATTTATAGCTCTGCCAGATTCACCTTCTTTACAGTCAGTTGCACAAAGACTGCACTCAGAGACTGGCTGTCACTGATCTGTGTGCTGCCCAGATGGATGGGAAGAAAGACGAGACAGTCAGATAGACATGCAGATAGTGAAAGAAGAGAAGGACGAACAAGGCACGCAGACAGCACATACGACATTACTGTACAGAACTAAACCACACATCAAAATGCACGAGAGTGAACACTGTCCCATTATGGCAGCTCGAGGATTGCCACAGTATGGTCTATCTCTCGTTCATATTATATAAATTCCACCGGCGTCGTTGCGTCTGTCTGTAATGGTTTAAGATATCATCTCACCACCTGAATGGAAAAAGATCAACAACATTTTTAAGGAACGATTTGGCATCGAGCCAAATGCCTCTGTACCTCTTCTACCCAACCCCCCCTCTGCTCTCTCCCTCTCTGTTCCTCTGGGGGTAAAGTTGAATTTGTTTGGGCTTGTGTATTGGCAAATAGATCCCACATGGGAAACATTAACCAAATGTTTCTGCAGAAATTAGTCTGCAGGGTAGAGCATCAGGATTATCTGGATACCTGTGGTAATAAAACCCACATGATGTCAAGATGTGGTTATGTTTGAATGCTTTGAAAGGAAAAGGGAGTGTACTTGTTTTCACGTTTATCTGTTTACTGTATAACCAACTTTCATTTCAGTGTGACTAGTCTCAGAGATTAAAAGTGCTGTGCTGGCCTGCTTCATGGATAGTCTGTCTGAAAACAGAATTCAAACATGCAGAAAACGCATTCACAGAAAAACACATTTAGTTTTTAGAGAAAAGTTATGTTGATAGATTAGAGAATGGAATGAGAATAACGCATCCAAAAACACTGAAATGAATTGAAAGTGCTTTGGGTTGGATGTTTCCGGCAAGGTTAGGGCTCTGAGCAGATAAGCGGTGACCTGGCTCATCCTGAGCACAATCACTTTTTCCCCTTTGATCAGAATGAATTGGGCTGCGTTGGACCATGGTAGGCCACGTGCGCTGCAAGGCATGTGTCAGTCTGCACTCTTTGGATCATCTCTTTATCTTTCCCACTCTCCCTCTCTGTCTCCGTGTGTCTCTCTATTTCACTTTTTGGCATGGTCATCTTAGCGAGACTGCCATGAGCAAATCTATGTGATTTTACTAATCTGAGCTCAAACCCAAATTCCCACAAGATTATGTAGATCGCACTGGGGACTAAAAATCTGTCTCATCAACCAGCAGCACTCTGCAATGCTGTGTTTTTGTGGTATAGCCCATATGCTGTTATTTGCTTAGTGGGAATTTCTATTTGATTGTTTTCTGCCATCTTTTATATGTCCTTATGTGTATAGCACTTTGTAATGATTTTTTTTGAAAGGTGCTATATGATTAAAATAAAGTAGAATAAAATGAAATAAAACAAAATAAAATAGAAACCATTATCATTATTTTTATTATTATTTTATTATTAGTAGTAGTATTAACATTATTAATTATTATTGATGTTGTTGTTATTATTATTATTTTTATTATTGTATTTTTATTTTATTTTTTAAAATTTTGGCCAAACTAGTGGTGGTTCTTAATAACCTCTACTGTAGATGAAATAGTATGACATATAGAATACATGAATGAAGCCTAATGATTTTTGTGACCACCTAACTTTTAATTTCACAAGATTTTCTTAATTTAAGTTTAACTTTTTTCGCACTTTTTTATTGTAATTAGTAAATGCTAACACACTAAACGAAGTTTTGCTCAAAGCACCTCACTTTATCTTCATACATACTTTATCACAAGATTCCTTTCAAAAGTTCAATAATTTTACATCAGGTATCGTTAACTTCAGTTTGGGTAGGAAGTAAATTATTGTTTTTGATCATATCTATGATGGTTAAGGTCATACCTAACAGAGGCGTTTTTGTGATGGGATTGCTTATGCCAGGTCTGGCTGTGGAGTGCCTCAGGGCTCAGTGCTTGGTCCAATTCCCTTTTAAGTTTACATGCTCCCTCTTGGCCATCTTATGGGCAGACATAATATCAGTTTCCATTTATTTGCAGATGATACTCTATTTAAGCTGTGATCCAACAAATAACTACCAAAACCCTATTAACCTGATAGATTGCCTTCATGACATACAAGCGTATGTTACAAAATTTCCTGACAAGACAGATAGTGATCAATGACAAGGTACTGCAAACGTTAAAGTATCAAACAGTCTTGGTTCTCTGTCCAACTCAATAACTCCACATTGCAGATATCTTGGTGTCATTTTTTAATCAAACCCTCAGTTCAGACAAACATGTGAATTCAGTAGTTCAGCTCTCAGAAATACCTCCAGGATCAGATCATTCCTTTCTAACAAACATCTGGAAGCTGATATTCATGCATTCATAACCAGTTGTTTAGATTATTGCAATTCCTTGCTCACTGGCATCAGTAAAAAATCGCTCTCACGCCTCCAGCTCATCTAAAACTCTGCTGCTAGAATCTTGACTCAGACTAGAAAACATGACCACATCACACCAATCCTGGCTTCCCGACACTGGTTACCTGTTGCTTTTAGAATTGATTTTAAGATTTTATTGAGTGCTTACAAAGCCCTGAGAGGCCTTGCTCCAAGTTATATAACAGATCTTTTATTGCTCTATGTTCCCTCTCGCACCCTGAGTGACAGAGCCTTTGCAGTCAGAGCTCATCTTTTCAGCTACTTGTTAAAAACTGCCTTTTGGTGATTTTAACTGCTTCATTGTTGTGTGTTTTACTCTGTTATGTGTATTCTGTTTTTATTGATTTTATCTTGTAAAGCACTTTGTAACTGTGTCTTGAAAGGTGCTATATATATAGAGTTTAGTATTATAATTATTATATCGATGACCTCATGACATGTCATGTTTCTGTGTTACCAGGAAATAGTCCCGTCTTACCTGGCAACGTCACCCATCATGTCAACGGGGGCAGAGTTAATGGAGTCCCAGCTAGGCAGGGGCAGTTCTCGTCACCATGGTAAGCCCTGTTGATTTTTTTTTTTAAAAGGTAAATTTGTGAAAATGTGTGTGCTTTTGAAAAACTGTTTTTAATGCTACTCTCTCACATTACATAGACACCATCCCCTGCAGCTCACTCCCTGTCCAGAGCCTGGGACTGCAGCAAAGTGAAGGTGGGATGATCAAGAAGAGGAGGAAGCGGAGGAGGAAGGTACGACCAGAAGCAGCCGGCGGAGGGGGAGGGAGGAGAGAGGAGAGCGGAGAAGAGTTTTCAGAGGACGAAGACATGTTTTCTATTGACCTGAGCTCAGATGAGGAGAGAGAGGGTGACAGCGGCAGGTGTGTATGTGTGTGCATGATAGATTGTTTCATTGTGTGTTTTAGTTTGAACATTTTAAGCTTTGGGAATTGAAAGAAAACAATATCTTAGTATACTTTGTATTTTCAGTTTTTCTAAAACAACTGCTCATAGGTTTTTATGCCTCCACACTGGAGACAGTTTGGGCCAGAGGCATTATGTTTTCGGGTTGACTGTCCGTCCCATTCTCATGAACAAAGTATTTCAAGAGCGCCTTGAAGGAATTTCTTCAAATTTGGCACAAACGTCCACTTTGACTTAATGAACTGATTAGATTTTGGTGGTCAAAGGTTAAAGGTCAAGGTCACCTTGTGTCCGTCTCATTCTCATGAACACAATATCTCAAGAATGTCTTGAGGGAGATCCCTCAAATTTGACACAAACGCTCACTTAGGGAAGATGTGTGTGAAGCATCCACGTTTTCACGGACGTGAATGTAAATGGTAAGTGCAACTTGACTGGTTCGCGGAGGCATACAACCGTGAGGTGATAATTGTACCTCTCTGTCTGTTTTGTTGTTTGGAGTTTGAAAAGGCCTTCCCTCCAAGTCATTTTGCAAGGCCTGGGGGGGATGCCAGTCACTTTGTTCCATAGCTGAGGTTAATTACATCTATAATTTTGTCAAACATAGAGACTGTATGTGTGAGTCTTTATGGCTGTGATGCATGAATGAGTGTGTAAGTTGTTGTTCCAGCTGTTAGATAAAGGGCAACACAAAAAAACTGAGGATATTCTGTTAATGCTCACATTGGAATTTGTCCATGTATAGCAGCATGGCTCTGTGTGAGGAAATGTCAAGTAGACAGAAATATCTCAACAGCTTCTGGATGGAAGCCATGGAATTTAGTGCAATCATGTCCTCCTTAGGATGAGTTGCAATGACTTTGATTATCCCCTCATATATCATCTAGCGCCATCATCAGGTCCAGTATTTATTTTTTACAATGAAATATAGGCATGTGCAAAACTAATAATATTTCAGGTAGCCTTAGCTGTACTGTATTTTGTGCTATTTACCAGATGTTAGTATGGTAACATGCTAAACTGAAATGGTGAACATGATAAATATTTTACCTGCTGAACATAAGCATGTTAGCATTGTAACTGTGAGCATGTTAGCATGTTTGGTCACACTAGCATTTAGCTCCAAGATGGCTACAGCCTCACAGAGTTGGCATGGCTGTAGACTGTTAGCTGTTAGGAACTGTGCCTTAATCAATGAAGAGGTAATGGTTGAAGGATAACATAAGCATAACAATAAAATGTCAGCCCACCATCTGTGCCCCTTATTGCCCCTGAAAACTTGGCTTTAACTCCCCGTAACATTAAATATCCATGACTAAAAAGCAACAATCAAAGTTGGAAAAACAACATCTTTAGGTATTATTTATTAAGTGTTTAAAACTAAAAACCTTAGCCAACCTGCTTCATTGGGACTGTGTGGGTGTGGTGTAATCAGATTTGACATCAGACTGTAATTCAAATTGCTGCTAAATCTTAATTGGTGAAAATATGTGACATCACCTTTCTCCAACTGAGCCCTGTACACCTCAAAGCTGCAAGAGGGACATAGGGAGAAATACAGATACACCTCCTGTGAAATTACCAAAATTGTACTTCCTTTGGCAGAAAATGTTGTGTTTATGAGGGAAACCAAACCATAACACATAGTAACAGGCTGATCCAGAGCCTTTAAACAGGCATTTAAACTTCATCCTACTGTCTCAATTCAGTCAAATATTTTCAGTTGTTCAAATTAATTGCTTAGGAAAAATAAGGGAGGTACAAATTAATGGGTGAGACTGTGTGTCTGTGCATGTTTGTGTTTACGTATGTGCGTTCAAAACCAGCTCTGATTGTGGGACGCGCTCCAGAGAATCATCCTGTTCCCACAGTGTTCCCTGTCTATTTGAAATGATGGCTCTTTTCTTAGAAAGTTTATTACATATTAAAGCAGGAAAACATTAAGGACATGAAAGAATGTGCGGCTGCCTCATGTCATGCTTAATACTGTACTTGATGGGAGTATTTTAGGCTGGTCTATGTCGTGTGGTTTTAGGCTACTGAAGTAGTTTCGGATAAGATAAACAGATTATGATTTGTGTTCGGATCATTTTAGGACATTTTTATGAGCATAAACAAATGAATTATTTGACTTTATTTGGACTTTATATAGTGTGGTGTGTGCACAGGTTGTGAAATAATATGCATATGACTGACATCTCCATGCATGTGTGTGTTTGTGTTCAGACCTGTGTACGGTGATCAGGGGTCAACAGCCAACATGCACACACACCCCAGCACTGATTGGACCCGTTCACAGAGGTATTACTTTTATACAAAACACACACACACTTTATGATTGACTTGATCTTATTAAGCTGTCTAATAAACTCTTCTTAGGCTCATGTCAGTTATTATTACTATTCTATTATTCTGTTCATATTGAGCATTTGTATATGTTTTCTGAGTAGACAATAATCACTGTCACTCTCTCTTTCCATCTCATTTTCTTTATGTGTGTTTGTCTGTCTGTCTGTCTGTCTGTGACTTATATTCCTGTAGCCATGTGATTAAGGAGACTCTCTCCCTTCCTCCACCCTGTGGTCTGTCCATCTCTTGTCCTCAGCAGACTTCTCACTTCTCCTCCTCTGTTAGGTATCACTTTTAATTTTATCCTCTCTGAATACTGGAAATTGATGCAATTTTTGGAAATTATTAAATATTTTATATACAGTACAGGCCAAAAGTTTGGACACACCTTCTCATTCAATGAGTTTTCTTTATTTTCATGACTTTTTACATTGTAGATTCTCACTGAAGGCATCAAAACTATGAATGAACACATGTGGAGTTATGTACTTAACAAAAAAAGGTGAAATAACTGAAAACATGTTTTATATTCTAGTTTCTTCAAAATAGCCACCCTTTGCTCTGACTACTGCTTTGCACACTCTTGGCATTCTCTCCATGAGCTTCAAGAGGTACTCACCTGAAATGGTTTTCCAACAGTCTTGAAGGAGTTCCCAGAGGTGTTTAGCACTTATTGGCCCCTTTGCCTTCACTCTGCGGTCCAGCTCACCCCAAACCATCTCGATTGGGTTCAGGTCCGGTGACTGTGGAGGCCAGGTCATCTGCCGCAGCACTCCATCACTCTCCTTCTTGGTCAAATAGCCCTTACACAGCCTGGAGGTGTGTTTGGGGTCATTGTCCTGTTGAAAAATAAATGATCGTCCAACTAAACGCAAACCGGATGGGATGGCATGTCGCTGCAGGATGCTGTGGTAGCCATGCTGGTTCAGTGTGCCTTCAATTTTGAATAAATCCCCAACAGTGTCACCAGCAAAACACCCCCACACCATCACACCTCCTCCTCCATGCTTCACAGTGGGAACCAGGCATGTGGAATCCATCCGTTCACCTTTTCTGCGTCTCACAAAGACACGGCGGTTGGAACCAAAGATCTCAAATTTGGACTCATCAGACCAAAGCACAGATTTCCACTGGTCTAATGTCCATTCCTTGTGTTTCTTGGCCCAAACAAATCTCTTCTGCTTGTTGCCTCTCCTTAGCAGTGGTTTCCTAGCAGCTATTTGACCATGAAGGCCTGATTGGCGCAGTCTCCTCTTAACAGTTGTTCTAGAGATGGGTCTGCTGCTAGAACTCTGTGTGGCATTCATCTGGTCTCTGATCTGAGCTGCTGTTAACTTGCGATTTCTGAGGCTGGTGACTCGGATGAACTTATCCTCAGAAGCAGAGGTGACTCTTGGTCTTCCTTTCCTGGGTCGGTCCTCATGTGTGCCAGTTTCGTTGTAGCGCTTGATGGTTTTTGCGACTCCACTTGGGGACACATTTAAAGTTTTTGCAATTTTCCGGACTGACTGACCTTCATTTCTTAAAGTAATGATGGCCACTCGTTTTTCTTTAGTTAGCTGATTGGTTCTTGCCATAATATGAATTTTAACAGTTGTCCAATAGGGCTGTCGGCTGTGTATTAACCTGACTTCTGCACAACACAACTGATGGTCCCAACCCCATTGATAAAGCAAGAAATTCCACTAATTAACCCTGATAAGGCACACCTGTGAAGTGGAAACCATTTCAGGTGACTACCTCTTGAAGCTCATGGAGAGAATGCCAAGAGTGTGCAAAGCAGTAATCAGAGCAAAGGGTGGCTATTTTGAAGAAACTAGAATATAAAACATGTTTTCAGTTATTTCACCTTTTTTTGTTAAGTACATAACTCCACATGTGTTCATTCATAGTTTTGATGCCTTCAGTGAGAATCTACAATGTAAATAGTCATGAAAATAAAGAAAACACATTGAATGAGAAGGTGTGTCCAAACTTTTGGCCTGTACTGTATATTTGGATGTTCAATACAATTTACCTGTTAAAATATGGAGGACAAACTGATTTAAATCAAGCGTATTTCACTTTCCCAGCAGCCCCGACGATTCACGCTCATCAACACCAAAGAGCGACTCAGAGCTAACCAATCAGAACAAAGACAACCCTGAGATGTTGTGGACCTGGGGGGAGCTGCCACAGGCCGCCCAGGTATCCACACACACACTCACACACACTCTGCAGAAAGTACCTCAGCACTTTGAGATTGACATTTTTGGAAATATATGTCTGTATGTTGAATATGAAACTACTGCCAGTGCCAGCAGCCCGTTAGCTTAGCATAACATGAAGACTGGGAATGGCCAGCCTGTTTCTGTCCAGCTGTAACAAAAGCCGCCTACCAGCACCTCTACAGCTCTTGTTTAACATTATTAACGTAAATAGCAGTTGCCAGGCAACCAGCAGATACTCCAGGAAGTTACGCCTGACCAATAAATAATCAGGCACATAGCCAACCATAAAGAAAACTGTCATTTGTATGCCTTTGCTGTTTGCTTAGCTGTTCTCCCCTATTTCCTTTGTCTCCATGCTAAGCTAAGAGGCTGCCGGCTCATCCACATGAGAGACATATCAATCTCCTCTTCTCATCTAACAAGAGTGAATCAGTGTAGAAAGGGGAGAAACATATTGAGCACACATGCAAATAAAGATTGTATAACAAGTTTGATCTCTCTCTGTCTGTTATAGCCATCCTTCCTGACTTCCCACCAGAAGCAGGACCCCGTCCCAGCAGTCTCCATCCCGGTGTCCAACAGCACTCACTTCAGAGCCATCAATGACACTGGACCCCCCTCCCTCACTCTCTACCCTCCTCAGCCAGGGGAGAGCGCTGCTCAGGGTGAGGACAAGGACACTGAAGAAAGAAAAAACGGAGCCAGGGTTGGACGAACCACTAAGACTGGGGACACGGCTGCAGGTAAGCATGGCAGAAAAAAACGTTTTAAATGTAAAGTTTTCTCTAAAAGCACCTAGAATTACACTACAGCCTAAAATAAGAAATGATGTGAGTTGTACTGCTCATTTATCAGGCTAAATGCTGTCATGAATTGCCGTTGCCTCTCTGTCAGACTTGTAGCCCTATAGTGACCTCCAGTGGTGTTTCCTTAAATTCATGTATGAGTTTATCCTGGTGACTCATAAGTTTGTTTGTGTGCTTCACTTGGTTGTTTACTGTGTGTTATTTTCCCGTAGGGAGAGAGGTGGAAAGTGTTGGGCCATCATGTGAAGAGATGGAGGGTCTAACAGCCTGCTCAGTGTCTTCCAAGATTCTCCTCGATCACCTTGACGAAGCTGGGAGTAGAGGAAGTCCCATCAGGAGAACTGATTCACCATCTAAGAAGAAAGGTATCAGAGCTCTATCTCAAACAATACAAAGGATCTTGAGCTCAAACTGTCTGTAGGCGTCATCATCATGCTACTGCTGCTGAGGATGTATGATATTGTCTCTTCTTAGAAAAGAGAAGCCAACACCTTGGTGCTGATGGCGTGTATCTGGATGATATTACAGAGCTGGAGCCTGAAGTAGCCGCTCTCTACTTCCCTAAAAGGTTCAGTAACAAAACATATTCATGTACCAAACATGTTTGTGCATGCCCTCATATGAGTACAAAACATACTTTAAACCAAATACACACACCTACTGTACGGAGGGCTTTCACCTGGTGTAATTCACCCTGTGGCAACCACCAGGGAGTTGAGAAGACTTTAATTTGTCTCCTGTTTTTCAGAAGTAATCAATTACTTTTTGACACTTTAGGACACTTAAGTGAGTCTTTATTTGACCTACACCATCACCACAATATTTTCCGAGATGTACATGTTAGAGTGTTTGTGTTTCACTCCCTCCTCAGTGACGGAGGCAGTAGCTCAATGAAAGGGGACTCCGAGATGATGATGATGGGAGCGCGGAGTGCTAATCAGTCCCCACAGTCAGTGAGCAGCTGTGGGATGGACAGCGGCGTTGACAGTTTGTCCGACCAAGTGGGGGACCTGCCTCATGTTGCTATCTCTTTGTGCGGAGGACTCACTGACAACAGGGAGATCACAAGAGGTAGGATAAGACATGTGCAAGGAGGCGATGACAGAAGGACAAAAGTACTGTTCAATTTAGATTCTTTACTCTTCTTTGTGAAACACATGTATGTCAATCTGTGTGTGTTCTTGCCTCATATCTGTGCGTGTGTGTGTTTCATGCCACAGAGCAGTTCCAGGAGAGGGCAATTTCCTACCAGCAGTTCTCTGAAAACCCTTCAATTATCGATGACCCTAACCTGGTGGTCAAGATAGGAAACAAGTACGTTCTGGGATACCATATTCAAAGTGTGATATACATTTAGACTAAGTGCAGAAACTATGACAACCATCTGCTTTTGTTTTATTAATAGTCTGAACACATTTAGACATGTCTGTGTTTGCATTAATGGGTTTTAACAATCTTAACAAACCTTCTCCAGGACCAATATGTAAATGCCATCTTTACAGTTCTGACAATAATTTCATAATTTAATATCCTTCAAAGTAAAACACCGTTGTATATTCACTAAATCACCAACTTTGGTAGCAGCAACAGCAAAAAACTATGTGACAATGTCTGTTTTCAAGCTCTCACACAACCCGTGCAGTATAAACCAAGTCTCATTCATCCTGTCGTATGCTCAGTACTTCCCAAACAAATGCAGACCTTACTATTTAAAACTGAACTAAAAGTAAAACGTATCTATGCTCTCTTCAAAGCCAGACTCCATTGAGAAAAACAGTGATTTTAGCTTGCTAAACACGGGTGCTGCTGGTCTATCACTGCCTCGATTAGTTGGTTTGTTTGTGTTATTGTGTGACTTCCATGTTTTAAACGGTTAGTTTGGATTCACTAAAGTCACACAATAACATAAAAAAGCTGCCAGTGGAGTAGTGGTAGTTGTAGCAGTGGTAGATCAGCAGCTCCTGTGTTCAGCAAGGTAAAATTATTGTTTTTGTCACTTTCAGTTCACCTTCCCATCGGTAAGGGCTGTCTGTTTGAAATGTACTGAGCATACAACTGAATAAATGACACTTTGATTATACTGACTGAGTTGTGTGAGAGTTTGAAAACAGATGTTTTTGTGTAGTTTGGCTGTTGTAAAACATGGTCCCTTTTTACTCTAATTCATTCAGATTTTTTTTCTTAACTAATTCAGTGTAACACATGGTGATTCATTGATATACAAATGGCCATTTTGCAGGTGAAGTATTGTTTTTAAATTAGATGAGAGGACTGATACCACTCATGTTTGTACAGTAAATATGAAGTCAGCACCAGCAGCTTTTTAGCTTAGCCTAGCATAAAGACTGGACACAGGAAGACACAATTAGCCTCTTTCTGTCCAAAGGTTACCAGCATCTTTTAAACCGACTGATTAACAGTCCTCATTTGTTTAATCTGTACAAAAACCAAAGTGTAAAAACGACACATTGTTGTTTTATGTGGGATTATGTATCAGACTGTTTCTTGGTAAAGTGCAACAACTTCCAGGATGTTACTGTGCTTCATATTAATATACAGATATGAGAGTGACATTTATCTCCTCATCAAACCCTCTGCAAGAATGTGAATAAGCTGCATGAGTCACAATTCCTACTATAGAATCAAGTCAGCTGTCTCTGTCAGATTGAAGTAGAAGGAGGTGTAAAGAAGAGCTTATAGCGCTCTCTGTCATCTGTTTTAGGTACTACAACTGGAACACAGCAGCTCCTGTGATGTTGGCCATGCAGGTCTATCAGAAACCACTGCCGCAGGTAAGACCACCACAGTCATACACAAATATGTACTCTGATTGTTTCCAGTTGACTGTATGTTTTATTTTATCAGTGGTGGAAGAAGCAGTCAGTAAAAGTACTCATTGTGTAACAGAATGGACCCTCTCAGTTTTACATTATTATATATTATAATACTATATTATTGTTATGCTTCATTACTGTGTAAGCAGCATTTTCATGTTGTAGTACTTTTTATATTGTTAGGTAGTTAAATACAGTGGTTCCCAACTGGTCCAGCCACAGGGTCCAGATTTCTCCTTGGTCATTAGTTCAGGGTCCACACAGTTTAATATGTTCAGCATCATACTGGCATTTGGCCATGTCATCGATCTAGTTAGCTGTCTCTGTCAAGTAGCCACTCACTCTTCAGCAGGAAATGGCACTTCAAAATAAAAGCTCTGTGCCGGATATTCACTGTACTTAAAAAATAGAGTGTGTTTTTGGTCCATTCCGAATGGTCCCAAGACCCACTTTTGACCACAACCCACCAGTTGGGAACCACTAGTTTAATGTATGAAATGCATCTTATTTTAACTGTTTTGTTTACAGCTATTAGATAAATGCAGTGAAGTAAAACATACAAATTTGTCTCTGAAATGTATTTAAATACAAGTATAAAGTACTGAAGCATTGAATAGAAATGCTATAAATGAGGTACAAAAGCCTCAAATTGATGCTCAAGTACAGTTACACTCAGACAGTGGTTATCAATATTATATGCTACACTAGTTTTTATTTTATTTTTTATGTTCTCTATCATTTAATTATGATTTATTGTGGTGGCCCACCTACCCCGAAAATAAGTAGTCACTGAGGTAAAAAGAAAGATGAAGTGTTGAATGAGTGGTTCAAAAATTCCAAATTACTATATTGTGTTTTTAAATGATTGAAACGTTATTATAATATATGTTTGGTGTCTTTCCTCTGCAACCCTGGCATCACTTTCTCCTGTTCTCCCCTGATCTGATGTGTCACTTCAGTGTTGTCATTTGCCAGCATCCTCATGTTATTTAATGAAAATTCAACCAAATGCTACCAGATAATGTGTGCTCACATTTCTTTCTCATAATAATCGATATTCAACCATTTCAGTAAACGCTGTAGAGCACATAAGATATTTGATTTTTTACACTGACTACATCTGACAGCACTGTTATGGATACTCAGTCTGCTATGTCACTAATTTAAATTGGCTGTTAATGGACACACATGGAGAAGCTCCCACCACAGCCGCTTGTCTTGTACCACAGTGAAATATGGCTTTGAATCTGTTTTCCTAACACTTTAATAATGTCATGTCTTTATCCCCCTCCTTATTTTTTCCCTTTTATTTACATCATTTCTTTCTCCCACCATCCATGCTATGTTTGTGTGTGCTAAGTGTTGGTGTTTGAGTTATGTGTTCTCTGCTTTTGGCCTCTTCTCATACTGCCTCCCTGGTCTGTTTGGCTCCAGCCCTTCACAACCTGTATGTTGTTTCTTACTTTGCTTGGGTGTTGGTCAGAGCATGTCCTTTTTGTTTCTTATGCCATAACTTCTTGCCACTGTCAACCTGTCTATCTTCCTCTGTCTCTCTTGCATGTCCCTCTCTCTAGCATTTTTTCCCCACATACTATCAGTCACAATCTTCTTCTTCCTTTCAGGTTTCAGTTTGCATCCTTAGCTGTTTGTTTGCCATCAAATTTCCACCTTCAACTGCCTTTATTTTAGTGATTCAGTTGGAGTTCAGTGTGGTTTGAAATGTGCCGTTAGTTATTTTCCTTTTTTAGTGCTTTCTGTTAATTTGCTGTGTTTTCTGCTTCACTTTGTTTTGAGGTTTTTCATACAGTTTTGAGTTACATTTTCTGTCAGTTTTGAGGTGTATGTGCATGGTTGTCTCCAGGCCTCAGTGGAGAACATCATGAAGGAGAAGATGCCAAAGAAAGGAGGACGCTGGTGGTTCTCGTGGAGGGGCCGGAACAGCGACTCCAAATCAGTAAGTGCAGAGATATGGTGAGATATGTTAAAATAAACTTTGTCCTTGGCACAGTGGTGCAGTGGTTAGCACTGTTGTCTCACAGCAAGAGGGTTCCTCGTTCAAACCCAGGGTGGGGGAGCTCTTCATGTTCTCCCCGTGTCAGCGTGGGTTTTCTTTGGGTACTCCGGCTTCCTCCCACAGTCCAAAGACATGCAGGTTAATTGGTGACTCTAAATTGTCCGTAGGTGTGAATGTGAACATGAATGGTTGTCTGTCTCTATGTGTCAGCCCTGTGATAGTCTGGCGACCTGTTCAGGGTGTACCCTGCCTCTCTCCCAATGTCAGCTGACATTGACCACGTGACCTCTAACAGGATAAGCTGATTGATTACCTAGACAGTTAAGAGTGTCAGAGGGTGGGAAAGGATGGGAAGCAAAGGCAGGGAGCTATATTTGTTCCTCACATCAACACATGCCATTTCAGTCAATTAAGCCACATGTGACCTTTGACCTTTGTGCACTTCAGGAATCAGTGACAGATGCAGGAGGAGACAGTGGAGAGAGTTCGATTACGATGCCCTCAGTGGACAGGTGACTTCAGATGGACAAGCTTGTGCTTGTTTCTTTGTTTTACTCTTTAAATCACTGTACTCTCACCGTACTCTCATCTTCACTAGTTTTCATAAGTTTCTCCAATTTTGTTGATTTTACAGGATGAAGGACGAATCATCCTCCAGTGATGAGGACCACAGATCGTCCAATCAGGCGTCAGGACCCTGCCAGTCAGAGCTCCTCATGAGTTCTGGCAACGTCTGTTATAAGAAGACTCTTCGGCTCACCTCAGAGCAACTGGTGTGTATTTATTGATCCAAATGGGGATAAAAACATAAATGCAAGTCAGTTTATGGCAGCTTTGAAGCTCCTTAGTGGCTTATTACATGTTGCACACTATGATAAAGTAAATAATTTAGAGTATCTTCAAATGAAGGGTGTTATTCTCACATTTTGTTTAGAGGAATACACCATACATTGTTGTGTTACTGCATGTTTTCCTTACCTGGTGTAGCCTAAGACTGAATGGAAAACTTTTTCACCTTCCTGCACTCAGTATTTGTGTGCTTGTACTTGATGTACTTGCACAATTTCCCCCCGGGGATTAATAAAGTATTCTGAATCTGAATCTGAATCTATTTGTGTGTGCACAGGCTAGCCTGCAGCTGATGGAGGGTCCTAATGAAGTGGTATTCAGCGTGACCACTCAGTACCAGGGCACCTGTCGCTGCCATGGCACAATCTATCTTTGGAGCTGGGATGACAAGATAGTCATCTCCGATATAGACGGAACAATAACAAGGTAACAGAAGGCAAGATAGTCTCACTGTCACTGTTGGTATCCAATAGTTGAAATTCAGAAACCAACCATTAATAGAAGCTCAACAGTTCAGTTTCAGCTTTTCACCAGTAGATGTCAGGCTTTACACAGATTCAGTGTTGGTGGTTTGTCTTTATTTGCTGCATTGACTGTGTGATGTTGCCTTTCTTGTATCACGCTATAGGTCGGACACCCTGGGTCACATCCTCCCCACTCTGGGTAAAGACTGGACTCACCAGGGCATCGCACGGCTTTACCACAAAGTCAGCCAGTGAGTGCTACCTTACAATCTGCACACAGTGTTCAGAGTCAAGTTGTTAACACTAAGGACTAGCCTATAATACAAATACCAGATTTATTTACTTGTTTGGTTAACTTATTTGTCCTTTAAGACCCCATATTGCAAAAAGTCAGATTCACATTTCTTTTCTTTTTTTTTTTTATTATAAAGCAGGTATTGGTGCTATATAAATACTGTGAAACTAACAGAACGCGTAATCTACAGAGAATTGCACAGACTTGGTATTCAGAAACTGTGCCTTTAAACGAGCCGTTAGAAATTCCACGAAGCTGTGATGTCACAACTTTATTATAGTGCCATTACAGTCATTTCCCGGCTGTGATGACAGTGCGGTGATGCAGAGAGCACAAATGGGCAAGACTTGGAAATACTGACGCATCAGAGTAGGCTCAGCTCTTCTTAACAGCACATTGAGATTACTTTGTATGAAATGTGCTATATAAATAAAATTTGATTTGATTGGATTTGATTCGTAGGAGGGGGCCTTAAAGAGACAGGCACTAAAACTGAGCATTAAAGACAAAGGGTGAATACAGGAATATTCAGGGAAGTAGCATCAGAAAAAATAATGTGTTTTTTGACCATTAAAACATGTAATCATGTTGTAGTTGAAACCCCAAATGCAGGTATCAACCTGAAAATGAGCATTATATGAGACCTTTAACTGAAATATATGTAATGGCATGTCTAATAATTCCTTATTTTAATCAGGGTAAACAGCTCAAGACAAGCTCTCTGTTTGTCTTTCTCTCTATCTGTGTCACAGGAATGGATATAAATTCATGTACTGCTCGGCGAGGGCCATCGGAATGGCTGACATGACGCGAGGCTACCTGCACTGGGTCAATGAGAGGGGAACCATGCTGCCAATGGGCCCGGTGCTGCTCAGCCCCAGTAGTCTCTTTTCTGCATTGCACAGGTCAGACACACACCACATGTACAAAAATGCCATGCTGATGTAATCAGAATTCATATTTGCATATAATGGTTAGTTTAATTTGGTATTTAATAATCATTTTATCAGGAGCAGCTACACAGTTGTGCCTTATATGTATCCTGTATGCGTAGAATGACAAGGATTACTTGTCATATGCAAATATTCTGACAATAATTTTAGGGATTTTTGGGCTTTTGTTTCTCTCACATCTCTCTGCTGATGTATTCATGTTGATGTCTTTCCCAGTGGATTTGTAATATGTGTTTGATGTCACATCATGTTGTGCAGGGAGGTGATTGAGAAGAAACCAGAGAAGTTTAAGATCGAGTGTCTCACAGATATAAAGCACTTGTTCCACCCAAACACTGAACCTTTCTACGCTGCTTTTGGCAACAGAGCTACGGTGAGATTTCTGCAAACGAACATACTCTCTCTTTAACAACAGGAATACACCGAAGAACTGTACTTTGTTCGTGTTTAAGCCTTGCCAAGATGTATAGTGTTCTTGCTTTTGGCTGTGATGCTGATTGTTTGTGTGATTTCAGGATGTGTATTCCTATAAGGAGGTTGGTGTTCCTCTGAACAGGATTTTCACTGTCAATCCCAAGGGGGAGCTGATACAGGAGCATGCGAAAACCAATATCTCCTCGTAAGATATATTCTTTGTGTCACTACAAATGTTTGACTGAATTCTGGTAAAAGTCCGCCGATGTCACTACAAATGTTTGACTGAATTCTGGTAAAAGTCCGCCGATGTCTTTGTGTCTCCTTCTCAGCTTTGGGCGTCTGTGCGAGATGGTCGACCACGTCTTCCCAGCCCTTGCTCAAGAGGAGGGAGCAGACTTCCCCTGCTCTGACACCTTTGACCAATGCAATTACTGGAGCAAACAACTTCCTGATGGCACCAACCAGGAAGAAGAAGACCCACAGCCACTGGAGACAAGCTGAGGAAACCCATCGAGAACGCTGCATTCCAGCTTTTCTCCAAATCAGTCATGACGCTGAGGTCAGGGGGTTTGCGACTCATCGTGAAGCCGGCTGCCCGGATTCAGAGTGAAGGTGTTGATTATTTTAGATTCAAAAATCCAAGGACTGAACCTGATTAATGAACAAAGCTCCATGGCTCGTTCAAAACTCAAAGACGTTTCTAAAGATAACTGCAACTACTGATTTGAAGTAAATGAATGTTTTCAGTATCCCACATAAACAAACCAACTTGCCATCAGTCAACAGTGAGAACACAAGCAGACCTGAAGTTTCATTACACATAAGACTGTAGCGTCAGAACAAAAAAAAAAAAAAAAAGGAAGACTTGTAAAAGAGAAGAACATAAAATCCCTGATGAATATCAACAGCTGCTTGGGAGTGAAGCCAACCAATGGCTCCGCCTGAGGAGTGCTCAACACAGGGTCAAAGACTCACGTATCACACATTTGCAAGTGCACTGACTCACACCAGTGCATACACATAAGAACTTGTAAAGGCATTCCATAGACAATGCACAACACTGCAGAATATACTGTATTATCCCTCACTGTGTGTTTTTCAGCTCATTGAGAGATTCCTTCGACTGGTTACCGTTCTCTCCTTCATCCCACTCCACTCTTCATTTACACTGGTGGATGGAAAAGCTGTCACAAAAACCACACACATACACTGTTTGTGGAAATTATTGCTAATATTATTTTGCACATATACAGGCTGCAGAATTTTATGCAAAAAAAAAAACCTATCTTAAAATAATCGGTCCATGTTAAGTCCACAAAAATGTGAGGACTCACTGTGTAAATGAGATAATTTTGCAGAGATTCTGCACAAGCAGCCCTTCCAGATTGCCCAAACAACTGGCTTACACCATTGATAATACAATATAAATTATATATGGCCTAGAATTCAGCTTCCCAAATCAAATCAGCCTGTTGGTGCATCATTTTATATCTTGTTTTAACCCATCACATGCAATATATTACCAAATATTAACATACATAAGAATCTTAGTTGGAGTTTTAATTACTGCAGGCATGTGGCTGCAGTAATCTCCTGTGACCTCCAGTGCAGTACATACACCACATCACATTAATTTACATTTCACGACTATAAGAGCAACCAGAACATGCAAAAAGAGCACAGATAGTGTACTCAGTCATCTTTCTGTGCCAAACTCCTTTGCAGGTCCAGTTACATGTGTGTGTGGTCTCCTGACCGTGCTACTGTGAAAGATTTATGTTTAAGACAAATGCAGGACAATGCAAATAACTTAAGTGTGTGTTTTTTCTGTCTGTTTTTATACACGCAAATACGTTAACACCAGTGATATGCTAGAATGTAGAATATAAATCATTCAGAGTCTGTGTTATTAATATGACTAATGCTCATCAATGCAATGACTGCGGAAGCCCACACAGGACTGCGGTCATATATTTTCAGTTTTGTAAAGTTGTTACTGCACAGATCAATATACTTTTATATACAGCACTAATCTGTCCTGTGGTGGAGAATTAAATGCAGTATATTCAAATACTGTAAGGTTTTCGCTTTAAAAATACATCTGTGTTTTTTGTCATGTGTATATAGATTTCCATTGTTATCAAATGTTTGTTTCCATCCATTGATCAAATAACATCTACTGTACTGCATTTATTATTTTTTTCACATGTCTAACTTAAAATGGGTGAAACCACTGTAAATAATGATTAATGTTATAAAATTTTGTAACCATATGAAGTGAACTTAAAAAAAAGAAAGAGCTCATCTTTTGAGAGATGATATTGTCTAAAAGGCGTTGTTACTGGTGCTCATTTAAACACACCTGCAGTCATTACATGCTTTACTGTGAATCTGTTTTCAAACCACCTGTCTCCTGTTATGCTAAGAGGTGGCAGCTTCATCAACATGCAGTTTTTAAGGAAAGCCCATAGATGGATTAGTGTTAATCATATGTCATTTTGTTTTATTTTGAGCCTCATGGGCACTAAGGTGGCTATTTACATGAAGTGCAAGCTAATTGCTACATAAAGTTTATGTTGATTGCATTGTTAAGAACTGTTTTGTACAGAGCCCCTAAAGTCCCAGAAGGTGATGAGCAGAAGTTAATTGTCTTGTTGGAACAAGTTCTAGTCATATTATGGGACTTTAGTGGCTCCATAGCTTTGAATGCCTGACAGCTTCAAGAATAGGAAAAACGCTTATGTTGCTACCGCCCTCCAGATTTTATATCATCTGAAAAAAGTTAGAGTTTAACAACAATATTTGTAATCTGATATTAATGTGTCCTGTACCGGAAAAAAAGCCAAAATACTGATTGATCCTCTGATTGATTGTGACTGAGTCTGTGATAATGTATACTCTTTGTGCATAGGATAGATAATGTTTGATGCCATACTGGCAAAAGAAAACTAATGAGGAATTGACCTTGAATCTGAAACTCTTGATGTTCACATGCCTTTGGGGACTCCAATGTAATTTGTGTAAGAGGAAAAGAAGCAGAGGACGCATGCTGTTGTGATGCTAAGATGCATATTACGTGGATGTGATAATCACTGTCTTGTCACCTGATCCTTGTAGACATTGCTATAGTATTGTTATGAGTGTTATAAAAAAGCAGAGACATGTTAATATGTAATTACTGAAGCTAAAAGCACACTCACATCTGTGTGAGGTCACTCAATTTGGCACTTGTAAGAGATTATGCTAAGGTGGAATATGGAAGCTGATGATTTTTCTTCTTAATGAACACAGTGCTCTTCCCATGATTTTAAAGTAAATCATCTCTGTGGTGATTGTCACTTGATTCTTTCTGTGAAAGATCCATTAAAACTCTTGACCAGTGATGCAGTCTGTGTCTGTGTTGACATGGATGTTGATCTGTCCCATGTAGAGATTAAGGGCACTATGAAGCAGCTCACCGAGCAGTGTGCAGTACGAGCAAGTGTTAACAATGTAGTTTGAATAAATATGTACAATGAACACATTTTTTTAATAAACTCAAAGATGATTGCTACATTGTGTTACACTTCTTGTTTTCACTTCCCCTCTGCATTATTAAACTTTTGTGACCTTTGAGTCCTTGTTGCTAGTGCTTGTGTAATTACACTGTGGTAGAACTACCTAAGATCTGACTATGGATGTAAGGATGTAAATGACACGAATGGCATTAACCCTCTGCTTTTACTCTTTAAAAAGTAAAAAGAAGAACACATTAGCACACCGCTTTGTCAGATTTGGAAATACAGAAAACCGTTGCTTATGAAACCTTTAGTATTTCATCACATTCCTTCCATAGCACTTCCCTTTCCCTTTTTCCCTTCTGCTCGTGACCCCATGTGAATGAAGCGACCTCCACTCACTCACACACACACACACACACACACACACACACACACACACACACAGAGCTCCTCCTTTCTCCCCCTACCCCATGAGTGAAGGAAAGTCTGGCTGTCTTTTAGGAGTCGACCATTTTGGACCGTTACACAAGAGTTGCTCATAAAGCTCAGCCTAAATTCAGTTGGGTAGACTTTCTTCATGCTATATTCATTGACAATTCTCTCTCTGTCCCACTCCCACCACCTCCACCAATCATCTGACTATGGATGTTTCCTCTCCTAGCTTAGCCAATTAAACTTTGCCATGATCTCCTTCAGCCATTCATATTGCTGCTGCCAAACTTTAACTCTGTTCTCCTCTCTGCTCCTGTCAGCTGTCATTTTAGGCAGATTTGTCACGCCCTCCTCCACCTTATTCACCTCCAGTCACCTCAGTCACCTCATCCAGAGCCCAGAACAAACTCATCAAAAGCCCATTCCTCTTAACATCCCTCTTCATCTCATCTCATCATCACCACCAAGCATCTAGACTCCATAGTGGGGTTCCCTAATCTACTACCACCCTCCTGGAATAGATGACATCACAATGGGGTCTGATCACCAAAAACTTTTCACATTTCTCATACTTATGCGCACATGTAAATAAATATTCTTTTCTCTCAGAACAAGTTCTGACTAAAATGCTGTTGGTTCTCATTAGCAGTGATTCTTCTTGTAGCGCTAGGCACTAATAACGGTTACTTTAAAATCAATTTTAGGTTGTGTGTGAAAGTAAGGGGACAGCTTCAGAGAGTCTATCTCCATGATATTTAAAAATAGCAGCTTTGGGGATCTGAGGCATCTTCTTAATTTGACATCTTACAAATTGGCTCAACTTCACAACTTTATTCATTAATCCCCTCTCATTCTCTCCTCCTACATCATCATCATCATCATCATTATTATTATTATTATTATTATTATTGTGTTATTATTATTGTTATTGTTGTTATCACTAATACCACCATTGTTGTCACTGTTATTATTATTATTATTATCTCCATTATTATTGTAATAATGCAATTACTTCCAGTACTCTTAAATAACACACACACACACACACACACACGCACAGTCATAAATTTTTACACCTTGTATGTATACCGTTGTATGTCCACTATATGTTGTTTGTCTTGTTGTATTTCACAATAAATTTTAAAAAAAAAAAACTGTACATCAAAGAATAAAAATAATAATAATAATAATAATAATAAAATAAAAAAATAAAATAAAAATAGCGGCTTTGTGCGTTTAGTCCTTCTTAGGCAAGCTCGGGGTTTAGTGTTGCCAGAGCCCACAGGAACAACTCTCCGCAAAGCTTGGATTTTTTTGGATTGGGATATATGCAGTTCACATAAATGTTCACTGGTCAAAATTAATATATGTTAATGCTTGAAGATCCACTCATTACTAAAAGTGTATGTCATAAAAAAATAAAGTAACAGTCAAAGTTGTCGCAGTGAAATTTAAGGTGTGCTGATTGATTCACGTCATCAACTCATGCACTGAGTAACATTACAAGTTAATGTTCCACCTTAAAAGTTGCCAGCAGTTGGCCCAGTGAATTAAGTTGCCGCAGCTGCTGCAAGAGGCAGCAAAACATCCTTTCATTCTATAGTTACAGTTTACTAATAAAACTCTCCATGGTATGAACAGTGGTTAAACGAGCCTCCAAACCAGCCACAACTCAGCCCTGAGCAGAGTGACCATCCACTATTGACCAATGAACAGACTGCAGTGTTCACAGCTCCACCTCAGATCTGTGTGCTAGGTACCCCAATGAAAGGGTGACCAAAATTGGGGACGATATGGAACTTTTCACAGTGGAAACGGGAAAAAAAGCACACCGAACTGAACTGTACCAAACTGTACTGCTCAGTGGAAACAGGGCTTTAGATTATCACTGCTTCAATAATCTACACCATAATACATGTCAATAAAGGAAGTTACTCTACAATAGAAAGAAAGAAAAAAATAAGATATTGCACAGTAATATCAAGCTAAAGCATTAGCGTCTCAATCAAGAGCTACAACCAGCCTATATGACAGAATACTGTCTGTGTGTTCAAAATGAACCGATCGTCCACTGATGCCCCATCTGGCTGCTCCAGATGTGAACATGATGTGAGTGTTTACAGGCGCCAACACAGCACCGACCACAGACAGGACCACACAAGGTATCTGACTCTCCTCTTGCTCTCTAACATTTCTAACAGCTTTGTTTGGGATTTTACATGAAACTCTTTTTTAATGTTAGCCTACAGTCACTTCATACTCACATCATATTACCACCAAACTTCAGTGGAGTGGAGGAGAAGCTTTATGTTTTTCCTTCCAGACATAATGGTAGCCTGTTCACTCAGTAAACATCACATACTTTGCAGCTTTGCTGTAAACATCAGGGTTAATTCAACATGTTGGAGATATGTAACACAGGCTATAGACAGACAGGTCAGTCCCAAACATGTTCCAGTATAGGTAATGTTGATCTTGTTTCTTTACACCTGTAACGTAACTCTGTTTGTCTTTTTGTCAAGCTTAAACTATATTTCTGGGGAAGCTTGTCCTTAATTGTCTCGAGATAAGTGAGTACCTACTGCTGTACTGTACGCTTACTTACATTTTGTTATTTTAAAGTTATATTAAAATTAAAAACATTTTGTTAACATTGAAGGTATCCCACAAGTATGTCTAATTTCTTTTTTGGCTGTTGGAGCTTCATGGAAGCTACATAGTGACAGCTGTGATACTGACATTATTACACACACGTAAAATGTATTGACTTTGCTTTTTTTGTGTGGAATTTCTATTTAGGCATAAAGAAATGTAAACTAATTCCAAACTACAAGCTGATTCAATTGTAGCCTAGCAGGTGAAATAAACTTAATTTACTTTCCCAACTGATTTAGGATTGAGAGCTTCTTTAGCTAGTTCAAACAAGAAATAAAAACAAAATTTGTCAGTTTGTCAAAAAACGCGCTTTTCAGTTCTGTTACTGAAAATTTCTTTCCATCAGCAAATTCTTGAACATATTGCGCAGTCACATACATTTTGGGATCCATGTGTTACCACCCACACAAGGGTAGTAAAGCAATACAAAATTAAAGCTGCAAGCAGAGATGAACGGGACCTCGGGCTCTCGCTGTCGGCCTCCTTTCATTGTGTACTGCTGCAGCACAGTTTTAGCAACAGATTTGATTCAGATTCTAAATGAGGAAAAAGAGTTTGACCTGGAAATGTTGCATTTACATGTTTTTTGCTATCAGGCATTTATTTAGGAAAATGTAGGAATGAGACACATGAGCTGGTCAGTTTGGTCAATGTTATCCTGTCAGGTGTGTGTGACCACACACACACACAGGCTTGTGTCTGTCAGAGTGAAGCCATTGTTATGCTAATTAATGACAGCATGCAGTTGAGTGAGAGGAAGGGGGAGAGGCCAAGAAGATGGCTTTCAAATTTCTCAAACTAGTCCTTCCTGCTCCCAAACCCAGGGTCCGATCATCAATCTGAAGATATCACCAGAGAGATACACTCGTTCCAAACGCAGACATATATAGCTTTCATGTTTGTGGAGTCAAAAAAGCGATCTTAGTCGCAAGTTTACAATGTCTAGCTCAGAGCTGACTCATTTGCTCATGTTACTTTCAGAGGCACTAGCCCATTTCCTGTTGGTTTTAGGTCAGTGGTGTCAGTGACTGATTTGTAGGTCTCGAGGAGACAAAGAAGCCAGTTTTGGTTTGATCTTTCTACACCATTCGTACGGGCCGCAGCAGCCATTTTAGTGTGTCTAGGTGGTGCAAAAATTGTCAAGAGGTTTTGTGACATGTCACCTTTAACAGGGCATAAAATCAAAACAAAATTGATCTGAGGAACTGTTTAGCAGGGCATGGTCTATCATGTGTGTATGTTTGAAGTCAATACAGTAAACGGTGTAGGAGGAAATATTTTTTTAGTAAGAGAATCTTTGAAAAATGACATCTTACTTTGAAAGGGCAAATAGCTCACTTCCTGTTGGATTTAGGTCAGTGGTTACAGTGCGTGATTTGTAGGTCCTGATGAGACGAACAAGCCAGTTTTGGTTTTGTCTTTCCACGACATTTGTACGGGTCACCGCGGGCATTTTAATGTGTCTAGGTGGCGCGAAAATCATCAAGAGGTTTTGTGAGACATCACCTGTAAGAGGCCATAAAATCCACACCATTCCAGTAATGACAAAGTTATAAAGAAGATCTGATTAGGACGAGTTGATCTGTCAGGTGTGCGAGTTTGAAGCCAATATGATAAACGATGTAGGACAAGTTGATTTTTGAAGAAAAAGCGGTTTTGAGGCAAAATCTTACTTTGAAAGGGCAAATACCTCACTTCCTGTTGGGTTTAGGTCAGGGTTATCAGTGCGGGATTTGTAGGTCTCAGACGAACGAGCCATTTTTGGTTTGATCTCTCTACGACGTTCCTACAAGCAACAGCGGCGATTTTAGTGTGTCTAGGTGGCGTTAGAGAGCCCATTTTGGCACTTTGAGAATTCATTACTTCATTTCCTAAAATTTTTCGGCAGTCCTGACATGCGTGCCAATTTTGGTGACTTTTTGAGCATGTTTAGGGGGTCAAATTCCAGTTAGAAACGGCGGAAGAA